TCCTTGCACACAATAAACACCCGCAGCCTTTAGGCACACTGGTGTGGCCCAAACATTTCCCGCCAGTGGTCCCCTATGGCACCTTGCATGGACCAGGACAGAATCTCTTCCTGCTCACGCATCCCTGCTGATGCTCTTGAAACATTCCCTTTGGAGTCTGGCTCTCTCCTATACTCAGGCTGTGATGAAAGCTTCATCCGTCATTTCACTTTCAGTTCAGGCTGACCAGCGCATCTCCAGCTCTGTTCTCAATCATGCAGATTAATAATAAGCAATTTCAAGCTGCATTGTCCAGGTAATGTGACATGATAACCTATGATGTCATGATAAGACTATACGTTTCCCTTTTATTCCTAGTATGTTTTCATCTGAATCCAAAATACATGTTTTGTTTCCTCAACACAGTATAAAGAGAGCCCCTGTGAAGCTGGGTTTATTTTTTGAGATCTCTGTTTAATTTTCCTCTGGCAGGGCACAAAGGATGGCTGCATTTACTGGATGATACTGTGTGATATTTATCCTCCTGTCAAACTCCAGTGGGAACAAGACTCCTATAGTCACTCAGCTGAGAGAAACTGTGTATATTCTATCTCATGGTATCTTCAAAGGAAGAATAAATACCTTTTTGGAATAGCTGTTTTAGCCAAATGTATTTCATTTTAGTCAAACATAAGTTTTCTGAGTCATAGCAAGAGTAACTGGATTAAATTTAATAGTCTCCAATACACAGGAAGTCTCTTTTGGGCTCAAACCATATGAAGCAACACATTTTGTGATAACAAAAAAATAGAAGATCAAGCTAGGAAACTGACAAAAGAAATATATATTTTACTCCCTGCTTTTTTATCCTTTCCACAACAATCGAAAAATACAGTTTGTAGAAAATGATAGGGCGGATGAAAAATTCAGATGCCTCGTTTTGTGGCAGAGGAGGTTGGGAAGCCCAGACGTCCCCTCGGTCTGCTCAAAGGCCTTGGGTGCATCCTGAGAGAGGAATGGCAGTAACATGCTGGACATTAACAAGGTCCCACTCTCCACAGCTGCTACACACTGGGGTTATTTTAAGCTCTGAAGACAATTTATCAAATTACATTGCTGAAAAATGGTACAATGTGAGTCATATTTACTTCACATTTCTCTTGCTGCAGGCTCTCGCTATTGGCTGCGGGATATTTATTACCTCTGATGCCTGCTCTAAGAATCTCCTCTCTGGGTCTGTATTTCACATTTAATGAGTGCTTTTGCAATTTCATGACTGTTTTCTGAAGTTGAGGTGGCACTTTGCAAAGCCGAATGGTTTATGGCCTGTTTCAGACTTCACTGATTTCTGCCCATTACTGTAGACATGAAACTACTCACAACTCCAAAATGTTGCTTCTCCCCCGGACACATTCTGCTGTGCAACAGCCAGGACTTTGAAAGCAGAGACTTTAAGAGCAACGACAGGGACTATCTCACATCAACCAGGACAAATTAGTCCACGTGGTAGTGACTGACCCACATCCAGCGGGGCCACTGGTCAGTGACAGTGCAGAAGGGGAACCAGACATTCCAGTGGGAAATGTCTAAGAGCTCACAGCCTCCTCTGGTTGAAGCTATGTACCTACAATCAAGTCATTCCATTTATGGTTTAGGAGGGATGAACTCCTTGCTCATGCTCATGTTGTCCCATCCACAGGCACAACACAGCCTGCCATCAGGTCTGGCTGGGACTCTCCATGACTGGTTACTGCCTGGCCTTTGTCACACTCACCCAGCCTATGCCTAGACATGAAGGTTTCAGAGCTCCAAGGACACCAGTCGACCCCATGCCTGGCAGTCTCACTCATCAGAAGAGGCTATGAGCACACAACCCGTGGCTATGCTCTCTCTTGGCCATGCGCAGGTCACCAAATTCACAGCGTATCTTTAAAGCACTTGGTAGGTTGTGACCAGGATACCTAAAAGCCTGGTTAAAGTTCTGGCTAGTAAGACTGTCCTTAAAAAGGACACCACTTTTCTCTCAAAAGCAAATTTTTGTCTCTGAGAGGGACTGAAGTTCCCTGGGGACTGGTCCGAGACTGAGGAACACACATTTACAAGAGCAAGAAATTGCTGCAAACCTCACCACCCACTGTGCTAAATGATGTGTCTGTGGTTTTGATCTTACATTTTTTTTATGATAAATACATAGTGGCATACGCACTTAAAACAAGCATGTTCTGGAAAAAAAACCCAAACCTCCAGACAAATTTCCCCTTCTCTTTTCCAAAACAAAACTGAAATAAACAATCCAAAACCTCTACAAAAACAAAATACACCCCTGCACTTGCTCCTTTCTGCTGGGGAGAGAATGACAGAACAGATGTATAACAGAAGCTATTTATGTTGGTTAATACATTACTGGGGAGATGCTGAGAGATTGTAGTGATAAGTTTAGAAGCAACCACATAGGAGATATATCGGAATAGAGCAGATCCCCACCTGCCCACCACGTTGTTCTAACAAGCATTCATCTCTAAGTGATGCGTCACAGAAATCCTGCACTAGGTTCGTGTGAAAAATGCATGTGAAATACAGAGCATTTCTGTACAACAACTTCCTACGGAAATTCTCACTCTTCTGCTTCCTCCTTGCTTTCACATTTCACAGAAATGTCCCCCGTCACTTGCAACCATCTCAAGGAGCTGTACTCAGATTACTAGGAGTTATAATAATTCCCTTTTTTTTTTGTCAAATTTTCTCTTCTTGCAAATATTTGTAGTCAGAAAGTGCTCTTGTGCTCCACGGGAAAATATTGGTTTCGATGAAATTTCAATTTTCATTATCAAGATGATCAAATTAACAATATTAAATCAACAGAATCATTCTCATTTCACATTTCAAAGCAAAATTAAACAACACTTTGAAGTTGTGATTCAAAGCATGTTGTTTGGCTAGAGCAAATCTTGTTATTTGAATCAAAACCACTGATCTTTCCTTGACACTTTTTAATAAAGATGTTTCCAAATTTGTTTTTCCACAAAGTCTCAGCTTTTCACCTCTCCACACTCCTCCTTGGAACAGAAACTAGCTATTGAAATGTCCCCAAAGGAAGACATTCTCTTTCCTAAACAAGAATAACGACGACAAGAACACAAATGAGAATGAAAATCACAATAATCTGATCCTAATGCACAGGGATGTGTTACCAGACAGCAATAAAGTTGAAATCCCCCCTGCCAGGAAGACTTTCTGAATGCTCTGCCTGGACTCCTCTAATCAATGATCAGATGATAAAATACATTCATAACAGCTCTCACTATCAAAGTGCCCTGCAGGGTCTTATTTCCCCGTTATACCAAGTTCATTAATATTTGGACAAATTGGCATCCGATAGCCAGCAAGCTGGTGCCTGGCTTCCCTCTGCCATCCCGCGGGAGCTGTGCTGAGCTGTGTAGAATTGTCTCCAATTGCTGACGGAGTTGGGCCTCCTCGTCCCCCGGGCTCTGATGCTATGCCAGCATGCAGGAAATTAACTTCTGCCTACTGGGTGTTCACCCACATGACACATATCTCTGCTGAAATTTCCTCTGAAGAGAAGGGAGACAAAGCCCAAAAAAAGGAAGGATGGGAAAAGAAAAAACAAAAGGCTTCTTTGCTGTCTGCTTTTGTCAGAGCATCACTTCAGATGTCACCATGGCACGTAGATGCAGAAAATGCATATATTGCCTCTAAATTCATTCTCGTGACTGACAGTACCTCTGCTTTGAGTCAAACCTGGCCAGAAATGTTCTTAGCCTAAACTGGGATAAGTGTGTCTCTCAGAGCTGTGGCGAGGGTGAATGAGAGCTTTGGTGCTTGAGCTGCCCACATGCACCCCCTCCAACCAACAGCCAGAGCAGACCTCTCGGGAGTGATGGGTACGTATGATCCACATCCCAAGCCACAGCTCACGAACCCTGAGAACATCTGTCCTGAACACAAAACACTGGAGGTGTCAAAAACCTGAATCCTGGCTCACCTCTGATCCTGCCTCATGTGAGTATACACATATTACAAGAAAGATCCCTCAGTTATTAGAGACATTACTTACCGGACATACAATTTGTGCAAATAAATAAGAAAATCTACCAGAGCCCCGCTGGCAGCTATTTGGTTCCTATGCTTTTAATGCTGCTTCTTTTCTTTTTGAATGCCTTTGTATGAACAAAACGTTGAGAAGATACGTGTATCATGTGCTCCTGCAGTAGGCAAAATCTCTGTAATAAGACTTGTGTGAATATACCTCCCAAAAATGAAGATGGTATTTCCAGATATTATTTACAAATAAGTCTCTGCTTGTGTCTCCATCACAGATTTCTATCTTTGGCATTTCATGCAGTTTTCCAGCCATCCTGTATTGTGCCAGATTTTCCAAGAAAAAATATCCAGAAGTAATCACAAGGGTCATTCTCCAAAAAGTCCCTTTAGGAACCCTTTGGATTTGAGTCCTACTGAACTTTCAGGCATTAGAACTACTGACTGAAATGGAAGCCAGAGGGAAAACTCAGTACTTCTCTGACCTTTCTAAAGGCCTATAATATTAAAGCCACTCAGGGTACTCCATAATCTTTAGCATAGACCATTTAACCTTTCACTGGGCACCCACTGTATTATTTCTCCCTATTTCATTGGAATTTTATAGTTTCCCTATAATGCTAGAATGACCTTGTTTCTAACAGCAACAAAAGAAATGACTGACAAAACCTGATTGCAGTAGGATGGCTTTAGAAAATCTTGTTTGCATTTCTGTAAATTCCGTCAAAAGAACTCCCCATGATAAATTTAGAATGGTATTTTTATGGTCTCAAGTTTGAGGTCCCAAGTTCATGACTGTGAGACCTGTGAACCCCTGGGTCCTTTCTGAATCTGGAACTGATTGACAAAACTCCACTATGGTTCAGGAAGGAAGGTCACAGAAGAACCTGTTCAGCTCCAAAGCATGCAGAAAGATTACACCACATGAACTGCAAGAAGAGTCATCGGGGAAGGCAACCCACCTCGGAGAAATATCACATCCTTGTTGCATGAAAGCTCCTAGGGAGAACCAGAGACTGTTGAATATTCCAAACTCATTCGTCTGGTCATTGGCTGGCTGGTCCCGTCCTTCCTCGAATTCCTCAGTGTGCCACTCGTAAGGGCTGAAGCGACTCACCAGGAAGAGGACAACACTCACTCCAATGTAGGCAAAAACAATGCACATCCATATTTCATAAGCCAAAGGATCCAGAAAGGAAAAAACTCCTGGTTTGGACTTTTGAGGTTTTTTTATCATGATAGAGATACCTAAGCTCATGAATGGTTTGGAAAAGTCTATAACTTCTTCTCGAACCAGAGTGATGGTTAATGGTGCCACAGCCACATCCGCCCTCTGAAAAGGGGAGACAGAAAAGAGGTTTGCATTCTCGGGATAAAATACATCTACTAACTCCAGCTTATGTTCCTTTGATCTCTGTTTACCCCTGCTATCTCAGAAGAAATCAGACAAAACCAATTTGAAAGAAATGTTAAAAAGGAGCAGCCCACAATATTGGTGGATTATTTCCATTTTATCCCTACTGATTACCAGGTCTGTTTTGAAATCACAGCATTTTCTTTTTGCAGCCACCTAGCTCTTCTTGTCTGATTTATCCACTGATGTCACAGTCTGATGCAGATGATTTTCACTAAAAGAGCTTTATCATCCAGACATCAAAAGAGGCAAGGAAAGGCCAATTGCCTGAAAAAGGATGCCAGGATGTTTACTTCCATCAGGAACTGCTTTTTGATTGCATAACTGATGCAGGAGAAGAGGAAAAATGTTCCAGTGACACTGATGTGCACTCTCCACTTACTTTGCAATCAGTCTTCAAAATGGAAAGGGAAATGCATTGAAATGGCTGTCGGCATATACTGTGGAGCTACCAGCAGGAGACAGATCATCCCCCACTCCAACACAGTGACACAGAGACTTAGGCACTGATGCTCCCTACACTAATTTCCCCTTTCACTTACAAGGGAAAAATTAGACCCCTCTGGAGGATGACCTAAACACCGCAGACTGACCTACCAGACCAAACCCGGTTTAGAAGTGTAGGGTGCAGGTGTTTTTCTGAGATGATGGAAACTAGTCCTACTGTTCACCAGTCATATGCTGAGCGTTTGAAATCTTATCCTTCTTTCATTCTGCGATTATCATGCAAATATAAAATAAAATTTGGAGATTCTACCCATGGGAGAGTTTGACCTTTCAATACTTGTTCTTGCAAAAATGAGAAGAAAAAGTAACTTGGAACTGTTGAAAGGAAATATTTTGACATTTCCATAGGCACAAAATGTGCTGTCCCTCCCTAAATTAAAATGTTCTACTTGGGCTGGTTATTTACATTACCAGAGCTGCAGTCCTCAAGACAGCTCAGACTGATAGAAGCCAGGGCTCCTTCTTACTCCAAGGCTTGAATGCGTTCTCAAGGACCAAGAGCTAAGGACAATGGACGAGGTTGGAAACTCACCCCATAAACGAGTTCTCCCACCATGCCGTTCCACGTTTTGGTGTCGGGGTCCCGGGCTCCGTACTTCCCATCTCTGACAATCTCCAGCCTGTAGTGGTAGCCAACATGCTTTGCAATCTCAGCAGCGAGCTCCACACAGTAACCTTCATACCTCTCATTGCCTTCAAACTGGTTGGCGTTCTTCTTGAGCATCACGTATGGGTCTTCCTGGAACAGAAAAGACCAATACTGAGCCACGGTCCACATTCCAGAGACGGACATCAGGGGCTCAGACTAGAGCCCAGTGTGCAGCTTGTGGTCCTCTTGCAAAACTCTAGTTTTGCGTTCCTGGACCAAAGGGCACCGTCAACACACAGTGGGCTTATTTTAGAAGTATGAAACGTGTTTTTATTGTGGCACTTCCTATTTATTCATGCAGAATCCGTGTGTGCTTCTGCAGTGACGGATCTGAGGGGAACGGAGTGGCTGGGGGAATTTGGGCAACAAACCTTTCAGTGCCGTTCTGCAAGGGATGTTTAGTGCATTTGAGCTGTGAATTTTTAAAGGCGTGTCTGCCTATGTGGGCACAGGCAGAAACAAATCTGCTGGACAGGAGACAGCCTTAAGATGTTTAACTCAGTTTGGGTATTGTGTATTCTCTGTAGACTCACAATAAGTGTTCAACAAACAAGTTAGTAAAATTTAATGTTTCTGCAGGGTAAGCATATACAGTGAGACAGTACATGATACCATACATTACGGGGTACCTATTACTCCTTCATGATTATAGTGGAGATTTGTTTTTAAAGCTATGATTCAGACTCTCTGCACAATACAGCTTATCCTTCCCAGAATTACAGCCCCCATTCTGTGGGCTAAATACAAAGCACAGGTATAATGTTCCTAATTTACCTATGCTGATGCCTCTACTATCTTGTCATAATCTTTTGTATTTTCTACACTTAAGCATGAGAGCTCTTTAATACCTATTTAATTAGCCACAGCAATTTTCAGATACCTTTATGGACTCAGCAGGAAACAGTAAGTGCTGTTATTATTATTATTATTATTGTTATTGCTATTATAAAAATTATGTAGTACAAAGGAGGGCACATGAGGGGGAAGAGAGAGTCTGCACATCAGGGAGATGGGGGAGAAGGAGAGCTGGGATAGAAGTCACAGCACTTACTAGGATAGTTGTGACTATGTAAGTCCTGTTCTGGAGACTTGTAGACTCATTGCCACTTTGAGTATCTATGGCTGCTGGAACCAACTTCTCATCTTCATTCCAATAACCAATCTGCCGAATACAAAACCAGGATATCTCATTGATATCTCTTTGTAATATTAACCAAGATTTGGTAATACATCATCCAAGCAGGATCAGCTATCTCTGTATGTTCACACCCAACAGAGATCTCCTCTCCTGATTCTTGATGTCTTTTGCTGAGGGGACCAGGAACTTCCCTGTCGCACCATGCCTCCAGCCTGAAAATAATGTGCATTATACGCTACAGTAGCAGAGTGCTTGTATGCACACAAAAACATTCGGCACACGGTAGTGGGGCATTCTTGCCATTCCCTACCTCACCCCTGTGCCAAGAGTTCACACTTCCTTTGTGTGACTTCTGAATATTTTTCGAATGGTGAGCATGCCTGCTGCACGTCCAGATGCTACAGGGTGACAGAATGCTACCCTGCAGCTGAAAGCCTGCATGAACACAGGACTGACTCTTAGGGCATCTTGAGACAACATGACAAAAAATCAAGTGAGAAAAAAACCCCAACCCTAGCCAATGCCAAAAAGTTTGGGGTTATGAATGAACTGAACAGTTGTAAGGGGAAGAACTCTCATGTTACACTGTGCTTGTTAATAATCAGGGGTTTGGGCTGAGCTATCACTGCTTGCAGGTGAAACAGAGTGCCACTGAATATCACTAAGATCACTGTTGAGGTTATCTGCTTTGAGGGCTTGATTTTATAAGAGGTTTTCCATCACCTCATCTAAGTATGAAGTTGCCTGAGCTCTGCTCATGTGAAATGAATTTCTTATCACAGTAAGTGGGAAAGGGTATTAACACAGGGCTCGACCAGGAGCCTGCTGATGGCAGCTTAGAGATCATAACAGCTCAGGAGGAAAAATGTACACAGGCTTCTCATCAGTCTTCACTGCACAGACAACAAGAAAGGAGAGTGAGGAAAGAGGTTCCAAAGCTCTGTCCTAGGGCAACATAAATGGAGACACGTATGTTTGTTTTGCATCTCTAACCTGGTGGATCTAAAATACAACATACGTTATGGTAGTGATGTACATGTCTTCCAAGCGAATATAATTTCTCTCAGTAAATACACAGCAAAATCAAGATATTTAGCCATTCTGTGTCTCCTCCTCTAGATTTTCTCCAAATGCCAAATTCCTGAAGTTCAGAGCCCCATACTGGATATAAATACTGTATTTGTCCTTTTGTGAATACCAAGTAGAGGAGGATGACCACTTTGTATGTCTTCAAAATGACGTTTTTATTTCTCAGTGAGAAATCTGCCTTTTTTCACTTGACCATGGTGGGTTCTGATCTCACACTGGCTGCTCTCAGGTCTAAGTATGAATTGGGGATATGGGCTGTAATTGTGGAACTTTCACTGTTTGCAGTTTTCCTTAGCTTCAAGCAAGTAATTTATTTTTCAGGGGACTGAGAGGGTATTCCAGTGAATACTTCATTCCAAAATATTTAGTATCTCTCCTTTATCAATGGAATAACTAATTCTTTGTTCTTCAAACAGGTAGTATCTAAGGTGGGACATAAGCACATGAAGTCCGATTTTCAAAAGGTTTAGTGTTTCAAGGGCTTGGTACTCCTGTACAAGGCCAGATTTTTCAAAGTGCCTGGGATATAGAAAGGGATCAAGACTCCAGAACAGCACAAATGTCTGTATAGCTGTCAGGACGTGGTTAGTGGTAAAGCTCTTGTCACTTCAAGGAGAGAAGAATTAGGTCAACATAAAGGGTTCACCCACACTGGTTAGGGAAGACAGCTTCTGTCTGGCTCTGCCTTGGCTCATCCTTGAAAAAGAAAATTGGGAGAACAAAAACCAGACACTCGTGGATCTGGGCCTGAGCCAATGTGCCCCGCCAATAGCAAGACTGAGTGGGCCAAGATTTTACTATCGTAGAAATCCCTGCCCTACAGCTGAGATGCCCTTGTTGCTCTTGATAACCCCTTCCATATGTTGTATTTTTTTAGTAATATACCATGAGTTCTCCCTAGTGCTTGGCTTTGCTTATGCAGAGAGCTGGGAATGCACTCATGATGACTCCACATACAAGCTTTCATGAACAGAAATGTCTGTTGAGACCTAGTCATACCATAACTCAAACACCAGGCTGATGCCTGACACGAGATCTCAGGTGACTCTCTACTTTACCTTTCTGATTCCATCATGTTTCATCTCAATCACATGGAGGGTGTAGTTGGTCCGTCGTCCCTTCTCATTAAACTGAACGTTGCCAGACAATCCTTCAAAACGGACCTTAAAGACATAAATATCAATGAGGAGAGCAAATTGTTCAGCATCTCATGTCACGGTGATTTGGCAGCAGTAAGAGGTAAGGGGAGGAAGGATGGAGAGTGCAGTCATGTCTCAGATGTATGCAGGGGAGACAGAACATCTATTTGACACTGGGCCTTAGCTTAGGTTCACTCTCTACTATGTGCCTGGGCATGTGCACAGCTTTTCTCTCAACTTACCCTTTTATAAACCCTTCCTCTTAAACTTAGAGGTCTGTTACTGAGCTCAGCGATGCATAAGAGCTAGATCATGTTGTGTGAGCCCATCACCTATTGGGATGTGACAGTAAGATAAATCATCTCAGAACTCCTTGGGTTTTGTGTTTGTTCGTGTTTTCTAAATCTGACCTGGAGTCAGGATTTGGTAAAGAATTTGTCAGTCCAAATCAGGAACTGCATTTGGAGAAAATATGAAACCATGGCCAAAGCTCCCAGCTGCCGCCTTTCGATAGAGAGGAGTCTATTCAGTTAACAAGCAAATCTAATTACCTCTGCACCAGCCTAATAAAACCTGACAATTTAGTATTGTAAATGAGATTAGCATAGGAAACTTTGGATCATAAATCTCTGCTGATAACACTGCTGAGCTGAAGAGTGTTACTCACATCACATCCTGTGTCCTGAACTTCTCCTCTCAGCATGGCCGTTTGACTTGTTGCAAAAGTGCCCAGCCTGGCGTGGAGGAGGGTTTCTAACTGGAGTCACATACAGTGTGTGGGGACCGGGCAGTTGGAACCAGGAATATGGGAAAAGAAGTGCAAGTTTGGGTTGCTATGGAGGCCACGTGGGGAAGTACTGACACCACTGGATTTATTGGGAATTAAAGGTTTGTTCTCAGCCTTCCCACTTGCTTTGGACAAATCTGTTGTCCCTGCAACTGAAGTCTTCCCACATGCAAAATGGGAACAGGTATTTACTGCCTTTTTCAGTGCTCTGAGATCCTTGGAATAAAGACCCATAGTGAAAAAATGAGGATATATCATTATGGAAGAAATCTGTTGCTAATCTGCTTAAACTGTGTTTGTTTTCCAGCTGTTATCACAAAGCTTTGCCATGAAAATGAACATCTGCCAGTATTTTCTGAAGCTCCTTCAAGTCAAGAGGTATTCCTGGTGAATTTGGAGAAACATGCTTTTCCCTTCTCACAAGACAAAACATGCCCATAAAAGATAGATGCACCAGAAAAGTACCACTGTCTTAAGCACTCCCGTGCCTGCTTTTGCATTCCTCCCCTTTGGTTTTATTTTCAGGTCCTGGCTGATTCTGAAGCTCAGGTCATGGGTGCTCGTGCTTTGCAGCCTTGTACACACTAAAAGGCAGGTGCACAGCACCAATTTCTCCTATCTGAACAAATGAAATCTTAATCCTGTGAGATCCGTGTAGCACTGAAATGGCAAAAGGGGTCTATCTCATCCATCCTGGAAGCTGCAGCACAACTTTTCCATCATTTAACACCCTCTGAGACCCCTTGAATCATTACAAAATATAGCGAGGACTGATTTCAATAGTGTTAAACACCAATAAAGTCATCTGGAGGCATGAAGCATTTAACCACATTTGTGTATAAGTCATGGCATGTGTTTTTTTGCTGGGAAGGCTGGTGGAGAAGGATGCTGTTGTGGTCTTCTGATTTATAGGGTTAGTCAGCAGTTAGGGACTAGCTACCTTCTTCCTACATGTGGTAACCAAATAATGTTAACAAAAAAATCTGCCAAAAATTATCATAATCTTTTCAAAGTACAACTGAAACCTCTGTATATTGGTTTAAAGTGATATTTTGTGAGCATTTTCCTGGAAAAAAAATAAGTAATTCTCTTTAATAAAAGCATACATCATGCTGAAACATGTTACACTTGTTTCTGAAAAATTGTAGAATGTTTCAAATTACTTTTCATCTTTGATCCTGCCATCCATGACTCCTTCCTACACTAAATGGAAATAAGGCAATTTGGAAGCTTATTCCAGACTTTTGAGTAGAGATTTTTTTTGTTTCTAAACAGCTTATAAAATTTTAGGCATTAGTAAATGGGAGGTAAAGAGAAAGCACACTGTGAATAGCTGTAAGAATTGCCCTAATTGTGAATCTTTACAGATAGGATAACTCAAACCTTCAATCTAATCATAAGTTCTATTTCCATCTGCCCCTTTCTTGCTACTATACTAAATGCTAGATGATTATTCAATTCATAGTTAAAATTTTCCTAGGAGACTTCTTCCCTTGCATGTTTCAGAGCCTTTTATTTTGACCATCACAACTGAACTGGTCAAATCTTCTGAAAACTGCAGTTTTTCAAAGGTAAAGGAATAACTTTTGCAAATAGCTCTTCATGTTCTTTGCCCAAAATCAGTACAGTTGAAAAATTAAGAGTTTTAAAACTGTTTCAGTGAAGAGACGAGGAAACTTCAAAGATTTTCTAACACACACAAAATTTTATGTTTTAGCCAAGTCTAATTTCGATATCCTGTTCTCACAAATTGAATAAAGGAAAATGCTTGAGAACTCACTGCTCATCAGAAGACTACCAAGTATTTCATGTTTATTCGGTAACCGATCTCCCTAATGCATCAAGGAGGCTGATTTTATTATAAGGGTTTGGAGAAGCTATGACAGTGATTCGCCCAAGGTCATACAGAAAGTCAATGACAGGCTTGGGAACAAATTGAATCCAGGCAATAAAATCAAATCAGATGCAAGGTTTGGTTTTAAAGGAATTGTTGTTTACCAATAAGCCAAAACCAAATCAAAACAAAATACTTGGGGAAATTTACATATGATGCAAGTTAACCAAATTAATTTTCTTCTTCCTGCCTTCTCACGGTTAAGGAAAGAAGATGAGATAAGCTATATTTGGATAATACTGAACTAGCAGTATTTGCAAAGGATCCATCTATTTTTGTCTGAGAAAAGACAAATGCAAGAAATGACTGTTAGTCTTGAAATTTAATGAAATTTTAAATTATTCTGCCTTTCTAAGTCTTTGATAAAAGTGTATTGTTTTTCTCTCTCTTTAAGTTTCATGTAGTATTTTTGTTTATCTGAAAATCAAGATTTATGCAGGATGAAGAAGCAAGATTATCAGATATCTAAATGGCAGTTATTAAGACTTTTATGAATCCTCACAGTATGAAACAAGCTATAATCTGGGCTTTGAGAACATTTTGATGACACTCAACACATAAGGCAAATTTCACATGGTTTCAAGCTTCATTAACAGTCTGTACTGTTAAAGCACAGTAAATTGAAGGAGCTGCAAAAAAATATGGTCTGAGCAGGTCTCTCTTGGGAAGGGGAAGATAAAAATAGGGACCCAGGATTTTATGGGATAATATTTTGGCTTTTCCATCTCAGAACTCCACAGAAATTAGAGAAGGCAAGGACACATCAGGTGGTACCAGGAGAAGCAGTTTGCTGGATGCACCCCTGAACTCTTCAGGAGACCCGTCTCTAATCTGGAAGGATCAGCTCCTCATCCTGAGCGAGTCGTTTGAGCGTTTCTGCTGCTAATCACCTCTCTTCCCCCACCCCCAGGCTACGCTCAGCTGCCCCTGCAGTGCACACATTGGTTGGGTTTCAAACCTGCTGCAGTGCTCTCTGGATGTCGATGCCTTGTCCCCAGGGCACGGCAGGGTTGGCAAGGCAGTCCCCAGCGTTGCCCCGACGGGAGATGTCGATCCGCTGCCTCCGCAGGTTCTGAAAAGCTTCGGCCATCACTCGGACCCCATCATATGTTAGAGCTGACGTGTACTAGAAAGAGAAGAGGAGTAGTATATGGCCTGTTAGGGTGAGCTGACCTTGGGCATGCTACACGGGTTCACCTCATGGCAACTTTTCAGACGATTTCCCCTGTTTTCATCCTTCCATCTATGAAGTTCAACAGCCTCTTGCTCCCTGTAATCACTACTGTCCTGTTGACTCATGAAAGTTGGTGCTTTCTCTCCCAGAGGATGGGAGAATGAAGGAGAAGCTCCTGATGCAGAGCTAAGGATGGCTCTGCTTTGCCTTTCACTCTTCTAGCCCAGCTTCCTTCAGACGGAACTCCCTGAAGAGGATTCAGCCTTAAAAGACATTCACCTGTTACCTAGGTCTTTCTGTTTAATCAGAATCATTAACCTGAACTTATATGTTATACCGTTTAAATGTGAGATATGCAAACTCAAATAACAAATGACCCTTTCTGGTCACAGATGGAGGCCAGAAAACTCTACTTCAACACACAAAACATCTGCAGAAGATGAGTTTATTCAAGGACAAGCTTGTACAGAAACTAGAGTAAAACGCCAGCATGAATGGTGAAAAAGTTAATTCCTTTTCCTATGATCACCTACTGATTTATTTGTTTGCAACTTTTTCAAACTAATCCTTCCAAACTTGACATTTCTATTGCTGAGTGTTTGTCACAAGTGTATTTGCTTTTAAATGTCAGATTGAAAAAAACCAAACTCCCCTCTCTCCACCCCTTGACAGCTTCAGGGTCTTCTCCATTAGGAACTAAAATATATTTCCCCTCTGCTGTACACGCTGATTTGAAACGCTCAGAAAGAACATCTGGAAAGACTTTATTATCACTGGATATGTAGTAAACAAGCCAAAGGTTAAGGAGTTAATGAGGCTTTTTCTTTTTTATATACTGAACAGTATGAGATGTTTAATCCTTAGTTTTGAGGAGGGTGAAAACTGAGAGACTGTGTGAATACACTAACTTGTGTATTTCTTCACAGGCAGCAACTCCTGCCTAGTAAAATTTAGACATTGTTGAAGCACCTGGAACAGACAATGTTCATCATTACATTAAGTGGCAGGTTTTCAGAGCGAGATTAAAGAGCCCTGTGGAGTCACAAAGAGGTGAGCATAACATGAAATGAGCCAGATGGACCCTAAATTAAATGTTTTTTTATACCACTTGCCTTTGGCCTCTTCCAGTCCACACGAGGATGCTCCCTGGCGTCATTATTCCTCCACTGCTGCATGATCCTGGCAGGAACAGCATCCGTGTAATTCACCAACTGGAAGCCAGTTACGTTGGCTCCGCTCTCCTTGAATTTGGTCAGGTCAATATCCATGAATCCCTAGTACAGGAAAGAAACGGGGGAAGCTCATCAGAAGAACACACCTCTGGGTGGGTAAGAAGAATCCTGCCTATTTATGGCAGCCAGCTTAGGACAAATCTTTTCCCTCTGTAAGGTAAGGTCCAAGTCAAGAGAGACTACACAACCACATGGTGAACTTGCCTTTCTCACAGGCTTTGAGCTGGATGTATCCTGCAGTTTCCACCCAAGGAGACAAATAGTCATATTAATAACTCACGAGCAAGAAAGCTAGCAGAATAACAGACAAATATATCCGAAATAACACTTGGATGAAAATAACAAAATTGTCTAAATGCATTAGAAAGAGTTGTTTACCCAGCTCTAACTTTTATGCATTCAGTCATCAATGGAGAGGCTACATCCTTTCAAGTCACAATTTGTAAGGAAAAACAAATCTTGAACAATGAACTTTCAGCAGATCAAGAAGTGGTTGGTCAGCTTGCCAAAGGAGTCTGTCTATTAGAAAAGTTGGCTTATATGATTTGCTAATTTGGGAGAAAAAAGAGTATAATTTTGGACTTCAGCTTACTAATGAAATACATTTCTTCCATTTCTTTATTGTTCTTCCCTACCTCTTGCCCACTGCATGTAATGAACACAAGTGCACAAATACACCTGTGAATTGGGGTGACATTGTAGACTTGGTGACATTGTAGACTCAGTCACTCCCTTGAGTCAGAGGCGAGATACACTGTGATCCCTATGGAGGAGAGGTCATGTTTTGGTCTCCCAGCTTTGGTCCTATCTCTTCAGCACTGCTGTTAGGCAAAACTGTTTGCTGTGCCTCCTTGCACAAAACAGCTGCTTGAAGAGAGACTCTGCCTTCCTGCTTGGGCTGCTGTGTGTGGGAAAGACTGAAGTTTGGTGCTTTTTCTTTTGGAATGTAAGCACAAGAGATGTAGTCAATTATTTTCCCTTATACCATTAGCAACCATAATGCATGAGGGAAAATGAATGAGGGGATTATGCATAATGCAATCACTTGGGCAACAGAAGAGCTTGTCTGAGCTCTTGCCGTCTCTCTGCCCTCCACCACATACTGCTGGTACATGTTCTCTGCAGATACCTTCTCAGCCTACCACTGGGTTTCTCTCCCCTGCTTGCTCTCAAACATATGATGATAGTGTCAGTTAAAAAAGCCAAGTGACATTATTCCCATGAGACACTGGTCAGGTTCCTAAAATGGTGCTCTCTGTGCACAGGCTGGGGGAACTAATTAGCTTACTAGCTTCAAGGTCAGGATCAAGCCATTAGATAAAAACCTGCTTTGGGAAACAGACAGCTTGCAAGGAGAAGACTAAATTGCCCTCTGACATCAGCATCAGACTGAGGGAGTTATAAGTGACTCAAAAATGTCTTTAAAGACTTTCACACTTTTTCTTCCGGCTTGTTAAAAGTAATTTGGCATTCACTTAGAAGGCTGAGGATTGGATATAGGTGTACAGATGCTCTAAATAGATGATTTGTTTTGCTTCAAGGTGCAGTGATTTAGGTTTAAAAAAAAAAAAAAAAGTTATATTTTGTGTACGTATTCCTCAGAATGCTGGTTAAACCTACATCAATCTTGTTTGTAATTGCTAGCGTAGGGGTTTCAGAAAGCCAGAGCTGTGATTAATGAATAGGAAATGCAGCAGGATAATTGTCCCTGACATCTTAATGCATTTCAGGCCAAGTGTTTTTTGACACGCAGAGCTCATAAGGTTCTGTAAGAGGGATCTTGCAGGTTGCCAACTGGTTATTCATGGCTAGGACCAAATTACACTGACATTTTGCTCCTGGGAGGTACTCAGGGGAAAAAGATCTGTCAAAAGAAACTACCACACAGAAACTTGAAGTTTGTGCCACCAGCTCCTCCATGGAAGCCCTACAAAGGCACAAAGAAAAGTCCAAGTTTACAACAGAGTACGAGTAAGAGGTCTGGTGTCTTTAGCCATTTCAATAAGCACATTTAAATAGGAAAAGTCAAAAAAAAGATGATGACACCAGTGATGAGACAGCAGCAGTTGAAAACACCGTCTTTCACTGTTTTCCACAAACCATTCTGAAACCGAAGCATTGGGAATCACCTTATATAAAATTTTAAAATAATCTGAATAGACAAAAGGAATTGTTTCTTCCTGAAGATTCTACTAATTTTTCCTCACTGATTTTTGACAAAATTCAAGTCCTTAAAAAGTATGCAGACTTCTAAAGATTTTCCAATTGTTTAAGGCAGTTGGGACCATAGAGGACATCATTAACCTTGAATCTGTCTGCATTTCAACTGTTATCAACCGCTGAAATAACTGTTTTCACCTGTTATCCCTCCTCCACATGCCTCACAAGTACAAGGTCAGTATAGGAACAGTCCTAATTACAAAGTCATTTTAATCACTTCACCACTGAAATCTGCTCAAGAGCAGGTCTGGGTGACATGACAACCAATGAACTGGAAATATTAGAGGTCAAATATTTTAGAAAATAATTCCCAGAGGAGGTGAATTCTTGCTGGCTAAAATATAAACAAGAATGTATCAAATATTATGCAAACTGTTTCCTGAAAATGTTTCTGTTGACAAAATGGCATCAGGAATTAAATGTGTTTCTCTGTCTTTCTGGAATATCAGTCACTGCTTGTAGGAAACAGGAGAACAGGAGAATTACAATATTTGCAAGCAGAGAAGTCATCAATCATCTGTCACCTTGTACTAACTATAGCCACATGTTAAGAAAAAAGAGACCTTTTATTTCAATTGACCTTATTTGCAAAACAGAAAATAATTTTTTAAAAAAATGACTAAGAAAAGACTGCAACCCACTACTGAGGAGCAGCAGACATGCTTTTGCAGCGATATGCTTAGTATCAATTAGTCTGTGAAAGAACGAGCACAGAAATGCTTCCCTTTGTCATCCAATCAAGTACAGGAAGAAGTGAACAGTGCTGGAACGATGTACTCCACGGCACCTCAGTGGCCAAAACCATTTCAAAAATTTGCCAGTGAATACTAGAAAAAGCTCACTTTGCAGCCACATCTGGAGTGCAGTGGGCTGTTGAGGGAAATGAGCTGAGCCACTGGAATTTGGTGGGATGTGACCTTCTTCAGGTTCTTTAGACCTGAACCATTTGGGATATATCTGCTGGACATGCAGGTATCCGTCTTCACCGCTCTACGCAGCACTGCCAGTGCTCCGGGGAGGAAGAAAAGGAATACGGGAACTCATGCTCCAGCCCATGCACCGTGCCAGCACCCCTGGCAATGCACACACAGCAGGATCCAGAGGCTACGCGGAGCTCCCCAGGGCCCCAGATAGGGTCACTACCCAGGACGTAGGTACTCCAGGGGAGACAACTCTTCTGCCTGCACAGTTCTCTGGGAACCATCAAAACCAGGCTGGAAGGGACACCACATGCGCCGGCCCACCCCCTGCCCTACAGCAGGATTAGCTGTCCCTTCGATTTAAATTCACTTTGCAAAATCATCTCAGCAAACCAGAGAATACGGCCTCCTGCCTTGTGTATGCCTGGAAAATGCCTGGCTTTCTCTGGATGCCATCGCATTAGCAGGCTGACAATAAACCATAAAAATCTGGACCCATCCGCTCTGATGGGCTGAGACAGCCTCCCTCCTCCATGCCTGCTCTGACTCACAGCATCTGCAGCACACAGTTCGAGCAACAGCCAGGCTCAGTTCAAAGGAGGAAACTTGCTCTTTAGCCCGTACCACGGGCTCTTCTCTCTGCATTAATGAGCCTCGCAAAGTGATTACATGCAGAAATCCTGCTGCTAGTAAATAATATGGGCAGCTGTTAAAGACCTTTGTGCCTCCAAATAGAAAACAAAACGGTACTGGGAAGGGATTTTTCCTCATTGTGTTTTCCTTGCTGCATCTGTTCTTTATGCCGTTCTTAAACTACAAACATTTTTCAGCCAAAGGTTGTTTTACTGTCCCATTCGCTGCCTTAGTTGCTGGGAGAGGTGTCAGCAAGTCACACATTTATATTCCTCTCCACTGCTTGTGGGCTCAGTCATCAAAGGAAATGCATAATGCAGGAAGACTGATGACTTAAAAAGGGCCTCATGAATCCATCTTGATTAACTGGTCCACGAAGGATCTGCCTTTAAAAGAAAGTCCCCCAGAAATGAGCCAGCTCCTTATTTATACCCTGAACACCATGAGGAGTCAAGACATTGAGTGGGCAGTGCAGACGGCTGTCAGATGGCATAGGGAAAGCCTCGTTCCTTCATGCATGACCCTCCTCAAATCTGCCAGCACCACTTAATTTCCCTGAATCTCTCCTTTCACTCTCGTATTGCACTGCCTCACCATCCTGAACTTCTCCCTTCTCTCTGCACACTGAGGACGCTGGGTGACACTGCTCCTTCTGGGACATCATCCCAGCTCACAGGAATGCCACAGGCAGCAGCAGCCTCACCTACACACCAGGACATCAACAGGCAGCTGGCCATTGCCCCACACCTTCAAATTCTCTCTGTATTTCACTAAATTGCTATTAACTGCTGGCACTTTCCCTGCAGGATGCCTCCTGCAGTATAATCTTGCCTTTGAAGCTGCCGTAACAGGCATCAAGGGCTGAGCTCTGGGCAGGCTGGAGCTCGTCATCTTATAAACCTCCCCACAGCCCAGCTGCAGCACAGCTTAAAATCTCCATGCCTTTGCTCCGAGTCTTGGCTTTTTAACAGTGTTGTTTTCTCTCCTCCTTCTGCATCTTCTGATCCCTCCAGATCTCCCTGAGACTGGCAAAGCTCATCTTTGAATGGAGATGGAAAATGTCCTTTTCTCTTGAATTGCTTGGAGGAGGCTTGCTGACTGAATCTAACCTAACCTAACACAGTCCCCTCACCCCAGGAATGAGTGTTAGGGTTTTTCATTCCCTTTCTGTCTGGGACAAAGAAACTGGAGTCTTTTTGTTTGTTTTTTTTGTTTAATAAGTTGCACACTGAAAAAGTCCTTTTTGAACAAAAAGCATTTAAGCAATTC